AAAAAAAAAAAAAAAAAAAAAAAAAAAAAATATATATATATATATACTGTATATATATATATATGACAAATCCACCGCCTGTACAAAGATTCAAAATTATAACAAAGCTGTAAATGTGTTATCGTGATTATAATGACAATAAATATTTCTAAAGGGTTGCTGGAGATTCAAAGTAATTAATTTAAACTTTTTTAAATAATTTAATTAATTTAATTAGTTTTCAAAGTTCATTTTTCATTACTGTTTCCCAATATTAGATTACATATGAACTCTTAACTCAATAAAATAAGCACAATGCTGATAAAAGTCATCAAATAATACCCCTACATTGAAGGTTCAGATCTGTTTATGAGGATTAAAGAGTGAAAAATATCCTAAACTGATCAGAACTTATATTTTATTTAATTTAACCCTAATTATTTATCTGTATTTTGGGTTTGAACTTGTGCAGATCCTAAAATTTTCTATTAATTTGAGGGATGGTAAAGTGCAAATCTGTAATTTAAAATAAAACATTAATATAGTTTAGGATCCTCTGCAGCATCACTCGTCTTCCTCTCTGCTGCTGCAGCTCCTCCCGAAAGTGCTGATATGTAGAGAAGATGCTCTGATTTACATCAAAGGCCCACATGTTTTTTCCGCTGGCCTACTTTCCTCACCACCAACCTCCCTCTCCCTCCCTCAGGTACGCGTTTCACGTGCTGAAGAATTCCATATCCCCTTCCCCGCTCCTGCAAGGCCGGAAACTGGACCGGATGGACCCCAACGCAAGAGATCAGTTGATTAGGGAGTGGAGGGGTTTCCGAGGAGGAGGAGAGCAGGTCAAACGCTACCAGCTGTCCACCCCACCCTCTCCCACTCAGGAAACCCCTGTGGACTTTCTTCCTGAATTTCTCAACGATGCTGAAACCACGAGTGATGATTTCAGTCTGAATGTCACCACTCATCAGAGACCTGTGTACACATGATGGAGGAAAGAAGAGCACTGTGACGATAATTTATTTGGAAAATTGTAAATATCTGAACCGGTATGGATGTGTGAGTAATGTTTCTTTTCGAAAAAGACTGGAGTTAAATTTTTGCAATAAGCTGTTAATTAAAGCATGTAGGTCAACACCTTTTTTTTCCTCTCCTCCTATAACAAATATGCCTGTTACTTTCCTGATGGGTTTCCAGCTCACAGTGATAACCCAATTAGCCATGACACCCACTCCTCCAAATAAATGGTGTTTTTTCCAAGCAAAATTCTTCCCACCAACAATGAATCCCAAACACTCGTGAAAAGTATTCATGCATTGATGTAAAATAGCCACAAAAATACCCAATGATACATTTTTTCCTTTCAATTTGCTCATTTAAAGCGTGTGTGTGTGCAGATAGAGCTGATATTAGACAAGCAAAGAACGTTGGGGCGAAAAGGCTTCCGTGCTGCAAAGTCTGGTGCTTTTTTTATGGAAATGGCATGTGCACAAGCAAATCCACTTGTAAAAAGGGCTGACTTATCATGAGCATACTTCATTATACAGTTGCAGCTCTGCTTATATAAGAGCCCACTGCCTTCAGTTGGATCGTTGCTGCCCTCTGGTGCTGCAGATGAAGCTCTGTGGGAAAGGTCACACAGACAATGTCAGGAAAACAAGTCAGCCATCAGAGGTTTGGCTTCAGTGTGTGAGAGGAATGACATATATAAAACATTTTTTATTAGGAAATCAGTATAATGCATACATATGTTGCACAAAAGCAGTACATTTATTTAAAACACAAACAACTTGATGTGTGACAACAAGCTTTGACAACAATGTTTTGTTAAAGGGACGGTGGGGATATTTTTGAAGTGATCTTCTATCAAATAATTATCAATAGCTTGTGCTTTAACTGTGACATCTGAGGAGAAGGGAGCAGAAGTCAGCCTCCAGATGGTCACCAAAATGAGGGCCAGTTTGACTTTTTTTACATGGTTTATATAGAAAATGTCAAGCAGGTGTGGAAAAAATGCTTCATTGTCTAATATGTTATCTCTACACTTTTGCATGACACGTTTTGTTTAGTTTGTTGTTGCTGCTTTTTCAGCTGAACATCTGTGTCACTACAAAGATATGTAAGTGCTGAGCGTACAGACGCTGTCATGCAAAAGTCTAGTGGTTTAATATTAGCTAATGTAGCATTTTTACACTCCAACATGTCACTATTTTAGAAGTTTTGGTTGATCTTCTTTTTCTTCTTCCAACTACCTCCATGTCATCTTTAACTGCATCCATATGTCTCCTCTTTGTCTTTTCCTTTCAAGTGCATACCTCCACCTCTCCAAGTTCTCTTCCACCTGTTCCTTGTTCTCACCACAGATCACAATGTCATCGGCAAACGTCATAGTCCACAAGGATTCCTGCCTGACCTCATCTGTTAATCGGTCCATCAGTGAACAAGAAGTGACTCTGAGCTGATGATTATTTTAGAAACATAAAAAAACAATATAAAGTTGCCCTCATTTGGCTACCATTATCCTAGCCTAAAGAAAGACTTGGGCTCTTTCATCCATTCTCCATGATAATTATGGTGAATGGAAAGTACGTATATAGCACCTTTCTATCTTATCAAGACTCTCAAAGCTCTTTACATTACAATCTGTGTCCTGTCCTCATTTACCCATTCATACAGTACTCTACTACTAGATCTGTACAAAGCTAATTGAACAAATCATTCTAAAGAGAATAATCAGTGCTTTATCACATTCATTCACTAATGGGACACACATCGGAGACAGTGAGGGGTTCAGTGTCTTGCACAGGGACACTTCGGGATGTGACTGCTGGTGGATTCGAACCCCCAACTCTTGCATTGGAGGACAACTGCTCTAACCACTCAGCCACAGCCGCCCTTGTGCCAGAATATAATATTTAAAAAATGATCAGATTATCCCTTTAAACTGTCGTTTTAGCATTCACCTGGATTCACTTAGTCACGTTTTACGAACCTCAATATTTTCACGTGCATTCCACTGTTATAGCTCCAGGGGGCAGCGATGAGCCCCTCCTGAGGAACGATGAACAAACAGGAGTTCCCATGGCCTTCTAGCAGCCATCTGACAGTGTCTGATTGAATCTATCAGAAGGCAGCAAAATGCACTTTGATCCACTCACCCACCAAACAAAACATAGGATTCATGGGCTGTCCTGCTGTAATAGCCTGGTACAAGACCCCCAAGTCACTCCCTGATGCTCTTTGGCTGTAAAAGTATCACAACTGCAGCATATTTACACATTTAAACCCATTTATGAAGCCACAGGTGCATTTAAAGCCTGAGAATAAAACGTTTGATATGGACTGACATTTGGACAGTTGAGATCTGAAACAAAATGCTGTCGTTCAGGATGAAACACTGAAGTGCAGAAGCAAAAACAAACAAGATAAAATGCAAATCACTCACTGAGTTTTGCATAAAGATGGGACTTGTTACATACGGGTACATTTTCTCCAATGATTTTGCAACAGTTGGGGCTATCAGCTTGAATCTGTGACAGATAGAAGCAGTAACTTAAAGGAATACAACAATAAGAGTTACAATGAGTTTTACACAAGCAGCCCCCAGGTAACAAACAGCCTCACATGTAAAATCAAACCATCCTTTATTAGAACAGTTTAGTTCAAAGAGAAAAAGGTGATGAAAACACAGGAATGAGTCAATTTTAGGTATAAAAATCATCATCTTATTAAAAAAAATATATATATATATATATCCCAAATATAGTCAAAGTGTAACTGTGACAGAGGAGTGACAGTTTTTTCACTGCTCTTATTAAATGTTTTTATACTAAGAGGCACCAAAATACAGGTCTTTGGAACTGGTAGTGACTTCAAACCTTCTAACATATGATACCAAGCACAGAAGGTTTAAAGGTTTTATAAAATGTCCTCGTTAAAACAGGTCTCAGCTTATTTTAATGCTCAGTTTGGGTTCAGAAAGTTCAAGCGCTCATTTCCAGCCCTGTGATTTGCTGCAGTCAGTCTACCAGATGGGCATCGTGTCCGGGAACCACATGCGGCCCAGGTGCTTCGACACCTCGCTGTGGATCTGCTCCATGCTGAAGGTGTTATCTGGAGTCAGCCCCTCCTCCCTGATGGACAGCTGCGTCAGCCTGCCACCGCACACCTTCACGAACTCCACAAACATCGGTCAGGTCACCTTGCACTCGCACAGCCCGATGGCCGCCAGGCTCTTGCAGTGCTTGGCGATGCGGATCAGCTCCTTGTCCAGTGGCTCCAGGCCGTTGGCACACACCATGAGCTCCACCAGCCGTGGACAGTTCAGCCCGATGCGACCCAGCATCTCTTTACTCACCGCCCGGTCAAAGTACAGGTGGGTGACCGGGGTCTCCTCGCAGAACGGCTCAAACTCCTCCTTGTAGAGGAAAAAGTACATGATGATGTTGACCTTCGGTGAGTGTCGGACCAGAACATCCCAGCTGCTCCTCTTCATGGTGTGAAAGTGAGTCTGGCCGGGGTTTTCGCTGACCACGTCGATGCGGAGATGTTCCAGGTGGACGTGTTTTTCTGAGGACAAAGCTAGCAGGAGTTCATCACTGAGGAGGTGGTAGTTTAACGCCAGCTCTCTGAGGCCATGGCACCGGTCTGCAACACACAAGATGCCTGAAGGAGAAAAGAACAAAATATCACAGTGTTACTAAAACAATTGCCCTTCTTCTTTATCTTTTTATGACTGTCTGCTGCCGAAAGGAGGGAGATAATGTTTTGCCCATGCTTGTTTGTGTGTTTGTTTGTAAAACGTCTCTAAAACTTAGAAAGTAATCACTGGATGTAGATCTACTGCTCATTAATGTTTGATGTCAACTTGATTTGGTGGCACGGTGGTGCAGTTGATAGAACTGCCACCTCTCAGCGAGATTGTCGCTGGATCGAATCCTGGCCAAGGTGGCCAGTTTGGGTGGAGTTTGTATGTTCTCGCAGTGCATGTGTGCATTTTCTCTGGGTACTCTGGTTTCCTCCCACAGACCAAAAACATGCATGTTAGACTGATTGGTAACTCTAAATTGTCCCTAGGCGTTAGTGAGAGAGTGAATGGTCGTTTGTCTCTATGTGTCCCTGTGATGGACTCAAGACCTGTCCAGGGCCCCACCTCTCGCACAGTGACTGCTGGATATGGGCACCAGTGACCCCCTGTGACCCGAAAAGGAAGAAGCAGGTAAAGGCAATAGATGGATGTCAACTCGATTCAAGATGGCCACCACAGGTAAACAACCTTAGCAAACACAAATTTAGCTATACATAAATCTATTTGACAATTACTGAGCTAAAACCTGGTAAGATAATAACTGAGAGTAATACCCAACACATGTTCTGAGCACTACTAGATGGCTTGAGGCCACAAAATAGCTCTGTCATTTCCAATGTTCTATCTCTGGCACAGAAGGTGACGGGTGACATTTGTTCCTTCAAGGAAAGCCAGAACTTTCATTTCCTAATCCTCGTCACCAATACTTAAAATTAGAAAGAAAATAATAATTTTCGTAAGAACTGACCAGCTGGGGAAACATAGGGACAGCTGCTCATATTCAGCAACATCAAGGTGTCACTGTTGTTGGCCACCAACACTTTCAGGGATGGATCATCCACTGGCGTGTCATCAATCTTGATGGAGGACAAGGACTTGGAGTTCACAAACACGACTGTCAGCGCAGACACAAAGTGAGCCTTGGGAGGTAAAATAAGGGGGTGAACCAGGACATTTGGTTTTGTACTTTGAGCTGTCATTTTGCAAAAATAAATAAATTAATTAAATAAACCCTAATTGATAAAATAATAAAATGAAGCTTGTTGTGTGGGCTGCAGAAAGCTTGCATGGGTTTACCTGAGACACATCCATGAAGCTGGGCCGGGCCATAGAATTCAGCCCCTGTGTTTTGATGGTGCAGTTCACCAGCTGGGACAGAATATCACAGGCTGCCTCTGCAGATTCTGGACAGCTGTCCACCTGCAGAAATTCATCGTTTAGGGAAAATATGAAAAATGTGCAGATAAAATTTTTTAAAAAGCTGGAAAGACTGAGGAGCAAAAATCAATGGTTAAACATATTATTGCCAATAGAGCTGATGTGTCATGATCCAGCAGATGGCGTTAGATTGAAGAGGACACAGAGTTTTTAAGATGTAAATTCAGAATAAATTTAAAATCTTACTGCTAACATATAAAGCTCTTAGTAAGCAAGCTGCAACTTATATTACAGATCTTATTGTTCCATACTTTTCTAACAGAGCACTTCACTTCCAGACTTCAGGTTTACTTGTGGTTCCAGGAGTTTCTAAAAGTAGAATGGGAGGCAGGGTTTGTGGTTATCACTTATTTTGGTCTTGTGGAACCAACTTCCAGTTTCTGTCTGTGCAGATGACATCCTGACTACTTTTAAAACTAAGTTTATATCTTCTATTAGATATATTCTATAGTTTGGGTTGGCTTGGGTTTCTTGAGCTGTCAGGGTTTGTGTTTCAATACACAGCCCTTTTGTGCCTACATTTTTGTCTTTTAAAGGAATCAGGAAAGAAAAAAATCAGATGACTGCTTTAGACTCCCACACCACTGGGGAACTAAACTCAGTCAAACCTGTTCAGATCTTATTTCTAACATAGCAACCAAGCTCCTTCTTATATTAAAGATCTTGTTCAATATTTTCCTAACAGAGTTCTTCACTTCAAGGCTGCAGGTATACTTGTGGTTCCTAGAGTTTCTAAGCATTGAATGGGAGGCAGAGCGTTCAGTCATCAAACTCCTCTCTTGTTTAACAAACTTCCAGTTTTTGTAAATTGGGCTGGCACTCTGTCTACTTTTAAAACAAAGCTTATAGCTTTTCTTTTAGATTTGTCCGAGTTAGTGTTGGCTTGGGGTTTTTTGAGCTATCCCTTAGTTGTGCTGCTATAGGTGACTGCTGGAGGAAAAACTGGCTACATTTATCTACTTCACCTCAAACTACTTGAACTTAAACTCTTTCTTGCTGACCAAACAAAGGCCATGTCAAACAGAAAAACGAGGCCACAAACCATACCACGTATTAAGTCTCTAAATGGCACAGCTATAAAGTTTGTAAAAACATATAAATACCTTGGCATTATCAATGATAAAGAGCTCTCCTTCAAGTATCATACTGTATCAACCTCATAAAAAATAAAATTAAAATGACAATAAACTAGGATTTTTAAAAATCTTAGAACTGTTTCATGTTTCTCCTAGATGACCCATAAACATCTTGTCTGCAACCTTCCTTCCACTGCTGGACTACAGGGATGGTGTTAACATGAACACGCCAGCCACCTCTGCACAAGCTGGATGTTGCTTATCATGGAGCTTTGCGATTCATGACAAAATGTAAATGTCTCACTCACCACTGTACTCTATATGCAGTGGTAAACTGGTCATCATTATCAAGACTACACTGGTACACTTTTATTTACAAATCCATCCCCAGCCTGCTGCCTCCTTAGTCTATGATGCCACAAAAACAGTTCAGTCACTACGTCCCCAGGGTTTTATTTCTTTCAGTGCACTCACTTTGCACAGAACTTGAAAAAAAGGTTTTCTCCTGTTCTGTCTGCTCCATCATTTTGGATTAATTCACTGCAACAAGATCTGAAACTGTCCAGTTTGATCCCTCTGGGACATTGTCAACAAATTATAACGAAAATGGAGAAATCATTGATTCAGACCTGTCCTTGTTTCTAGGTTTTGTTATACTCTGCCCCTTTTTAACCATCGACATAATGTTTTATGATTGTCGTATTATTTCATGCAACTGATTTTATGTGTCTGTGTTACAGGTCTCTCTTGCAAATGAGACTGCCTGTCTCAATGAGATAACCTGTTTGAACAAAGTAAACCAATTAATAAATTTCCTCACTCTACTGCTGTACTTACTTTTCTACCATCTTTTTTTACATATAATTTTTGCTACCATTAACCATGTGTTCCTCATTTTTCTTCCCATAGAAGACACACCCAGACCTCCCTCTGTGTTGGTCTGTGGCTCTTTCCTGTCCACTCAGCCCATTCTTAGTCTGGTTCAGCTGGAAATGTCTTCCTGTAAAACGGGATTTGTTTCACTCCCCAGTGTCCTGCACAAATTTTGACCCAATCTGTTGACTTCCATAGTTTACCTTTACTAATTCGCATTTTATAATGTACTACAGGTACTTGTATTATAGTAAGAATAAAGTGAGTGTAATTGTGTGAATGTTTATGAAGCATTCGCACCATTGTGATCCATTTTTCTTTTGTACATTTTTCAGAATCTTTCTCGTTCCGCAATTTTTATATTTCAACAAATTATACATGAAAACATTCAGCTCATTCAGGAGAAGGGTGCTATGACTTTTGGTATTGATGCAACTTTAGCTTTTTGAAATATTTAGCCATTTCTGCCACTTTTTCCTCTCATAGAAAGTGAATTGAGCTCATTTTACACCCTGCAGATCTTTAGATCTGTTTACAACCTTTTACTGCTCCTTTCACATTTTGCTCTGGGTCAGCTTCTTTCAGCTTCATTGTGCAAATGTTCACCTTTTTCAGCTATTATAAGCTAATTTCAGCTGTTAATCTTTCAGCTGTATTGTGCTCATTTTTCTGCTAACTACAACATTTTTGTGCTTCTTCTTACTTCTTTCTACTAATTTTAGCTTATTATGCACCTTTCAGCTTATTTCAGCTAGTTTCAGTTATTTCAGCTACTATTTACTGTAGATGTTTTATGCTATGTTTAGCTTTTTCAAGTAATTCTATATTTTAGCTAATTTCATCTCTTTCCTTCTGGTAGTTTAATCTTATTTCTGCCTTTTCAGCTATACTTTTCAGCTTTTTTTTTAATCTCATTTCAGCATTTTTAAGCTAATTACATAATTTGTGTCTTCATTTCTGCTTTTTTAAACCTAATTTAGCAAATGTGTGTTTTTTCTGCTTTCTTCTGCCAATTTAGGTTTGTTCTTCCTTTTCAGCTAATATTCAGCATGTCTTTTAGCTAATTTCATCTGTTTTTCAGCAAGTTCTTCAGCAATAAGCATTCACACTGCATTTTTGCAGGAAATGCAATTTCTGTAGTTAGGTTTGAATTTGGATTTGAATTGGATTTATGATTTGGCCTTGAGTTTGCTGAGATGACTTTTGTTGTGAACTGGTGCCACAGGTTTGTTTGAAGGCGACTGGAGGAGTTGTGCAGGCAGGACATGTGCAGGGACAGCTCTCACCTTGAAGCTAACGTACTGCAGGTGCTGAGCGTGTCTTTGATGATCTGCTGGATGAGGTCAGGGGGAGTGGAGTGCAGGTAGGACGTGGCCGGATGATTGAGCTCAGACTCAAACCTTCTCCACAGGTCGGGCGTGAGAAATGCGTCGTTCCAGCGACGACACACAGACGAGGCCCGAGCTCAGTCCACCAGGGACAGTTGCTGGAAGATCTGCAGAACCACAAGATGTGGGAGGTTCCCCCAGTCTGCTGCCAGAGACAAACTGAAACTGGTTGCCTGCCTCTTTTGTCTCTTAGCTGGTTCTTCATGGGAGGGGAAGGTTTGGCACTTGGATTTGAGACTTGATCGTCCTCGTTTCATTTTGAAACAAAAGAGCTCACTGGAGGAGAGGATAAACAGAAATGTTGCTCCGTTCAAGTTCACTGCAAACTGATGTAGACCACTGGTCTTATAACCAAGAATGATTATAGAGCTTCTGCTGTGGGTTTTGCAATTTTCTTGTGAAATTATTATTTTTTTTTTCAAATAGTAACTTGATGACTTTGCTGCCTTGGATCTAAGAAACGCTGCATGACTGGGCTTCATAAAGACAAGAACACAATGTTTAAAAACTATTAACAGAACTTTCAGGCAGTCAATGTGTCTGTTACCACAGAGAAGATAACTTTCTTTACTGCTGATGCATCTGGATGTTTCTGTCAACGGGTGTAGGTTTTGGTTTTTAGCCATGTTTATCAGATCCTTCTACTTCTACTTAAAAGTAGCGTTAAAAAAATCTGGGAAAGGAGAACAAAAGGCTGGGCTTGACAAAACCTTATCAGAACATTCTGGATTCGATACCTTTACTTACATCAAGACAAGCTGAACTGAAGTCAACCCAGGTTTAAGTAATCCATAATTAATCACAGATTATTTGATGCTGATATGATAAAATGGCAGATTCTTACATTTGTTGAAGTAAACAACAGATGATTATGAACGTTAATAAGCTTTTAAAGCTGTTAAGATTACACATCAGCCAAATGTTTGATCTGCATGTATATGTGCGTTATAAATACAGAATGTTAGCGTGGGTTAAGAGTTAATTTTCACAGGCAGTGTATTGACCCAGCTCAGTTTGAGGACAAAATTAAATTCTTATTTTGACAGATCAGCAGCATGTGTTGGGGATGACTCTCAGCTACTATCACAGCACATTCTAAGTGTCTTTAAAACCACACGAGTTACGGTGCCTATAAAAAAGTTTTCACCCCTTTTGCAGTCTTTAATCAGTCATGCTAAAAAATGGTGGTCTTTACAGAAAATAAAAACTTTCTTCAATGTCTAAGTGAAATTAAATTTCTACAGAGTAACACAGATGAAATAAAAACATGAAATATGACTGCATAAATATTCACCCCCTTTGAAGTGATTGTCCTAATTCAACTCAGAGAAAAGATGATTGAAGTCAGGGGGTGGGTACAACAGGATCTCTAGAGTCCAAAAGATCCCCTAGAGTCGTGCTAAATCCATCATCAAGAAATGAAAGGGATGTGTAACCTGTATAAAAAAAAGGTTGAATGAATGTTGGACATTTTTAAATCTTCACCGAGAGAGCGAGCAAGAAGGAGACAAGTGAACGAGGCCTTCAAGACACCTGGGACCACTCTGAAGGAGTTATAAGACTAGAACTTGTCTAGATCATTTAGTGGATATTTCATTTGAGTTTTCTTCAACACTGTCTTTCTGTTTGCCTTTCTCCCACTTAGCTCAGGCTGCTGAAGAACTGGGCAACAGTTGCTGTATGCCCAGTCTCTCCAGTCCGACCTGTTGAAGCTTGTAACTCCTTCAGAGTGCTCACAGGTGTCCTGGCGGCCTCTCTCACTGTTCTACTTCTTCTTGCACGCTCAGTTTGGGAGGACAGCCTGGAAGGAGTTGTGTCTTTGTGACAGGCTGCTGGTAACAAAGTGCTTCCAGTTTAAAACGTGTTCTTAGCAAAGTTGTGTTTTACATGTCTTTACGGCACCAGTTTATCCACTGGAGCTTTTTGTGCATGTATATTTCATAGGTCAGAGTTAAGCATCTTAATTCAGCTGAAAGTACTCATGTGGACACAAAGAACCAAGACTTTTAAAAATCTTTTGAACGAGACTCCTTTAAAGCATTAAGAACAACTGCTTCATTGAAGCAAAACAAACAAAAAAAAAAACGTTGTTTTTTTTTTGCAGAGCTGCAGAAAACGGGAAGATTTTTGAGCATATTATAACAACACTACATTTCAGATTTTTAAGGCTTCAGCCATTTTTGCTGACACCTAAAGCCTTGAAGCAAATCCACATGATAATTTTGCTGTTACTTACAGGAGAAGAATGAAAACATCTCTTTCCTCTGGATCTTGTGCTCCTGACTGAAGATGACTGCAGAGAGGCTGGCTGCAGCTGACCTACAGGACAGAGCTGCTCCCACACTGAGCTCTCTTTACTTCAGCGACAGCTTGCTGGGCGATGGGGCACATGAGCACAAGAAACATGGATCCCTCTCCCTGCCACCATGCCTGCACAGGAGCAGATTAAAGTCCTTCGAAATGCAGCCCACCCTCTCTGAGCTGTATTTATTTACTCCAGTGTGTGGTCTCTGTGTTTGAGCGTGCATTTTTAAAATGCTTATCTTGTGCTCACTGCACCCGGTTGCTGTGTGCACAAGGTCCTGTGTGCACAAGGTCCTATGTGCACGCGCTCGTAGAAACTAGGTCAGTGTGTCAAAGTGTGTGCATGTGTGTGTGTGTGTGTGTGTGTGTGTGTGTGTGTG